CGATAATTTTCGGAAGAAATTGTGAAATACATATCTCGTAATGATACTTTCATTGTTATGTGTTTTCTTATTCATAATCAGACAAACATACACGGGAAAGCCGAAGCAAAAGACTACAGAGTTGAAATATCAATAAAAGGAATATCAGACGACTACCAGTAGGAAACAGCATGGCGAAAATGGCGGTGAAAGTATATTTGATCCGATCATTAATTCAGCTCTTCATTACAGCTGCCACAGGCTCTCGAAGGTCCTGAAATAACGATGAACCATTCATCGCAAAGTGGCAGGCTGGTTGTTTCATATCTTTCTCTCTCTCTCTCTCTCTACTATTTATCTATCTCTTTATATATCTGCTTCTCTAATTCAGCCTATTACCCTCTAATGATATATTTTGTATCTTCAACATTGTCTATTTTATCGTTTTTTCCCCTCTTACATTATTACAAACACTTTTTTCTGTGATCATTTTTTTTCTTTTTTTTTTTTGGATTGGTCAAATGATCACCTACACACATACCAAAAAGAAGTCCCTTTACAATGTTGTACTTATCGCTGATATCTTTTCCATGTATTTTTTTTTTTACAACTAAAATGGTTTTCTCTCTTACATAGCCCAGTTTCTCTCATTTTACAAAGCCATGAAATGAAGAAACCATGCTATATAAGACTAATCGGATACATATGCCATTCAATCACAAACAATTAGTTGAAGCTGACAATATGCCACATCTGCATGAACTAATACAAAAAAAAAACTTGTGTATGACTTGTATAAGACAATCCGCCAATCAGAACAGTTAGTGTATTTACACGTTACGTTATCATGGCAGAACTGAACAAGGAGATGAAATTAATTTAACGAAAGATAATACAATCAAGATATCTGCTTTTTAATCTCACAAGCTGCAGGTTATCGTAACTTTAATTACGAAAGTTCGACGACAGTAAAAGAGATATTTCCCACATGTTCTCTGACCGGCCAAAGGAAAAAACGTGCCCGGGAAAAATAGGAAAAAAGGAAAAAAGAAAAAGAAACAGAAATCTCTCACTGGCGATTTTAAAACTATGTGACTGGATGTGATTTTTTGAGTGTTTGGTTGTGGGAGAGACTGACCATATTGTGTACATATATTATTTTTCATTTCCCAAAGTGAATGTGCTGTCTCATTTATTGTTCTTGAAATTTGCTGGGTGTTAACAAATGTACGAGTCAAAAATTCCAAAGGATAATGTATGTAAATATATATTTTTTTCTTTTTCACTCTGCCACAGGAAGGTAGAGTAATGTTGTGATGAATAAACTGTATATCTCTTATCAGCTGTGGCGATTACGGATGGAAAGATAATCATATAAGGCTGATAAGAAGATAGAATTGACCTTTTTATCTCTCTCAGCTGACTTTCTTTCTTCGCCAGTGACCTGCCAGTTGGGTGAAGGTCAGTCTGGGTGGATGTACTGTATAAATGTAACACGAATAACATTGAGTGATCGGACCAGCGAGGGGAAAATCAACACGTTTCCCCTTTTTGGCTCTCCAGGACAGGAAGAGTTCCCTCTTTCCCTTTTTCCTCCAGCCCTTGACTCCCCTCTCCCCCCTTACCCCACCCCACCCCCCGTTCATAGCCCCCCCCCCCCACTTCACGAAGCACTGGCCATTTCAGGTGTTTGTTAGAATATCATCACGTATGTCACCTATTGTTTAAGCTGAGAATCCTGTGTCATCGTGTCATTCACATAAACATACACACACGCAGATAAACAGGTGCACAGACAAAACACAAAACAAAACAAACACATATACAATGCATATACAGACTGTAACATTTCTACAAATACACAAAACACACATACAGAAACACCTATATAAACATTAAGCACACACACACACACACACACACACACACACACACACACACACACACACACACACACACACACACACACAAAGGATCGAGAAACAAAACCCAAACAACCGCAATACTTGTCGCCTGCGTGTGATTAGCCGCAACTCGCTGCCCGCTACAATATATATATGTATATATGTATAAGATACGCCACTGCGCTCTACCGCATTGTGTTCACCTGATCAATCGCCAGCCAAAAAAAAGGTCAATAATAAGAGAAATAAGCTTAAAAATTGTCGTCAGCTTGATGTTCATCTTAGGGGTCTGTCCAAGAAGAAATGTGAACTAGAGAGTCCTTCACAACGCTGTTCATAACCGCTGTTCACACTGGTGTACATATCATGGATGTACGGTAGACTCAGAACTTTAAGTGTGTAGAGCCAGCTGCCCAACTTCGGCTGGTGCCCCCTACCCCTTACCCCTCTCTTCCATCCCCCTGCCCTGTCCCCATACCTAATACCCCCCCCCCTTTCCCGCTGCCAGCCAAATCACCATTCACCCCCTCCCCCCTGCTCCCCCTACCCTTTCTGTGGTTTCCTGTCCCCCCTGTGGCCTTCTTTGTAAATATGGGAATAATAAAAAAAGATTATCC